GTTAAACGATAGCGGTCATTTAAATAATATTTGAAGATTATTTAATTATATGTATGTATATTTGTATGCATTGTCAACAGAAATATTTCATGAAGCTTTCTTCTGCTTAAACACCTAAATGTGTTGCTAGAAATATTTTTTTTTGCTGTTAGTCTTGTTTAAACCCATCATCAGGCCGTGATGGTTTTTGATAGGTTCTTTACCTAAATCATTACACGTGTTTCACTCGCACAGGTTCACGGAATTGAGAGAAAAGCATTAATACTTTCAAAGACATTGAGACCAAAGGTGATCAACAAATTGATCGTCTAAGATTTAAGTAACTAGTAGTGTGTGTTTGGTTCCAACAACTAACCTACAAGTTGTTCCACTAAAACCCGGTACTTACTGAGAATTCAACATGAATCAAATCTACTTTATTTAAACCTTTTTATTTTGAAGTCACGAATTTTAAAACCGTTTTTAATTTTTTTTACATACATGCAGAAAATATTAAGTATTTATTGATTTCCGATTTTGATTGTTCTATCACCCCTCCACAAGTTTCCCTTAAAACTATGAAAACCTTAACGGAAATTATCGTCTTGTAAGTTTTTTTTTTGTTTCGCCTGGTGTTACTTCAGCGTCGTTGAGCAGGTTAATGTGGAACGGATGGTATTGAACGCCAACGTAATACTATCCTAAACTGGCCTTTATAAAGAAAAAGCCGGTTTCGTTGGTTACAAAAAGCCGAATAATAGAACGGAAAGGGCTTCTTCAATGAGCCTCTTTAACGCGTGCGTTACCAAAGAAACAGGCGATTCGCCACATTTAAATAGTAGGTAGGTATGTACAAATAATACAGTAAAAATAATTTGATTTAGACCTTTTCCATAAATAAACATGATTCAGTTCTATCACACTTTGTTTTAACTTCACATTTTAATGAGAGCAGCAGGAACTCGTCTTTTATTCGAACAGCGCCAGGATATCATCGTTTGTCGATGCGTTTGTGGGCCCGGTGCTGCTACCGCTTGAAGGGGGCGTATTCAAGTCGGGGGGATCCAAATATGAGAGCAGCTCCATGGGATCCACACTGTCAGGTAACAACTGTAAACAAAACGAAGAAAAGATTACACAACGTCTCAATTGAAAATTTTACATTACTTACATTGAGGGTTTCTTGGCCGGTGCCTTCCCCATCAATAACAGCAGCAGGGTCGAAGTTCAAATCCGAAGGAATGTCAGCTACCGAGGATTCGCACTTGTCGTTGCTGTTCGTGTTTCCACTCGAATTCAGATGGCTGTTATCAGAATTGGCAGGAGGGACGCTTGGAGGTCCCGTCGTCCCACCTCCGGGCGTGTTCGCTGAACCGGGAGTTCCGCCTGGCGTGTGAGGGGTATGCGGCGTATGGGGAGTGTGAGGTGTGTGGGGCATCTGGAAAGAATTATAGATTTTGAGTAATGTCGTTAATAAGCATGTCATCGAAGTCAATTCTTACTTGTTCATTAAGGCTTTTTTCCATCGCATTTAATGGATCAAGAGAATTAACCGATTCGCTGAGATGAGAAAGAGGTCCATTTCCTCCTGTGTACTCGTTTCCGCCACCGTTACTCGAACCGAACTCAAACTGGCTACTTCTTGAACCATTGTATGATGTAGGACCATTCATCATCGATCCACTAGCTATACTGTTCATATCCGGGGGAATGTAGGGAGACATAGCTTGCATGTCCCAATTGTTCATTGTGGGCATCGTCATACTGCCCGGTGACATAGCTTTATTTAGTTTCTTTGCTCCACAAGAATCGTTACCTTCGTCTTCCATCTAGAATAAACGCGGAGATTAGTAAAATCTTTATGATTTGGTTCTTATCGTATATTTAACTTACTTTAATGTTAGGACTCAAGCTTTTGGCAGTCTTCCAATTAGCAGAGTTGTCAATTGTAACTTCTTCAACATCAGGATTGCCTATATTGTTATTCAATATTCCCCACATGTATTGGTCCACTTCTAAACCTTCCAACTGGGCTGATTTACTGAGGGAAAAAAGTCAGTGTTAAAAGCTGTCGTCCAAAGGTACACAAATTTTGTAAACCTACTTGCATACTGGACACCTCCAAGATCCTCTCTCACAATTTAGTTGGAGATATGATTCCAAATCGAAACATTGTATATGTTTACACTCGTGACCCCGAGCTGGAAGGGTTATTCTTTTAAACGTTATGGGGCATTTAAGAGAAACTTTTAATGCGGTTTGTTCCACAGTGTCCCGATCCCTATCCGAGAGATTTGGACCAGAGGTATTGCTAAAGTTTCGTTTAATTTTCGCTATGCAATGGTCAGCTGTCAATAACCGTTTCCTTAGGAGACCTTGCAGAACGGACCTTACGCTGGGCCTATGCACCAATTGCAGCACGAATAAGTGCGACTGAAACAAAATATTATTATTAATTCACATGCTCCTGATCAGCCATTTTTTTTCTTACTACTTACACAACAACAAGCGGCAACAGTGATTTGTATTGTGTTTCTACCTGGCTGACAAACTTCCTTCAGGTAAAGTGGTTTATGTGAAGTCTTATTTTCTCCCCGATCTATAACGAGGGGGGTAGCATTAACAGAAACTTGTACAGATGCAGGCCAATTGGTGTTCATTTGTCTGTCTTCGTGATGGAAACACTTTAGCTGGAGTTCCAAATCGGACCTCCACATCAACGTTTGATGTACTGTAGGCTTTAGTTGGAACACGTGATTACTAACAGCTAGATTGTGCTCTAATCTAAATGGAGGCAGAATGATACCGTCTCTTACAGGAAACGTCAACCTTAATTCATCATCTTCTGAAAAAAAAATCGATTAGAAACACCTATCCACAATAATTTATAATTGATTGAAATTACTTTGTGCAGGTAGTGGGGGCTTGATGTCGTTGAAGGTAGGTTTCACATCCGGGTTAGGACTGATATACGGTGGCATACTACTGGCAGGCGTTAAGGGCGGTGTAGGGTTTCCAGGAATGGGACTGTGCTGGTAATTCATGGTGTTCCTCATGCTCATATCCTGTTGGAATTGGTTCGTGTTTGCATATTGGGGTGTAGTATTGTTCATGTATTGTCCACCGTTTCCACTGTGGAATTGATTCATTGAATTTGTTGGAAAATACTGGGACTGGCTTGTATAAGGAGGGGTTGCTTGTCTTAAGGTAGTATTATTTCTAATGGGTCCCATACTTCCCGGACCAAACGTAGCCGACGGTCCTAAGGCTTGTTGTGTAGGGTACTGCGACTGGAACGTCGGCTGTCGCGTATTATAACTAGGATACTGTCCATTAGGATTAAAGTTTGGGTTTATGGTAGGACCTGGTCCAGGGGTGGGATACGACTGCTGTGCTCTTTTCTGTGTCATGTGCATAGCAGGGGAGGGATAAGGTGCCATTCGCCGCGGGTACATGGTGTTAGCGGTGGGACCTGGACCTTGAATGCCCATTTTCGGTCCCATGGGATTCCCTTGCATGCTCGTCATCATGTTGCCGTGCATGCCGTTGAGGTTCATGTTGCCGCCCATATTCGACATGGGATTCATGTTATTCATGGGCATCATCCTTTGCTGGTAGCCCTGTGGGTACTGTTGGTTACTGAACTGACCGTTCTCTTGCAAAGCAACCACACTAGCAGTAGCAGTCGCCGTGGCCGTTGCGGCAGCCACCATCGCAGCCGTTGATAACGCGTTTCCACCACCGTAGCCACCTTCAGTACCGTTCATGCCACCATTTGCACCATAATTACCTACGCTGCAACAAAAATTGAATTATTATGATCGTCATATAGACAAGCGACTTTTTTGAAGTTTAGGTTTATAAGTACCTTATTTAAAATTTGACAACCTACTTAATTTTAGAAGCGATAGGAAGATTTAAACAAACTATTTATATATTTCCACCTATGTACTTTTACCCGTGTTGTTATTTACATAATGTTCAACATTAAATACATATTATGTAATGTATAACCTTATTGTATAAATATAATTGAAGCAAACAATTTGGTAATTAGGTATGCTATGACAGTATGACAGACAGACCAAAATCCCATGTATTTCCTCATGAAGCTTAATTCTCGTTCAATTAAATTTTCGATTTTACCCCCTCCACGCCCACTTTGACAGCAGTTCAAGGCCGTGATTTTGATCCGGAAGTGACACAGCATATCTACTTACATACTTTAGAAAAATGCACCCGGTAGTAAAAAATTGACTTTGTTTCATTACTGATAAAAATTTATACCTTTACAAGTTAATCACATTCAACTGTTGGTAAAATCTACAGTCAGAAATTTTAGTCGAACTATTTCCGAAATGTAGATTTTATAATAAATGATATTCTAGCAAGTTTTTGCACCGATAAATTTTAAGTTAAAATATATCGGCAATAGGTCTTGCAATATTGAAATATCAAAAGGATCGTTGAAAAATTGTTTATGATAAAATATAAAGATACATAGTATTATTTATTGTAAAGTCATTTTATGGCTGATCGNTAAAATGCTACTTACCCGTTGAATTAATTAGCGAAAGTTATTGGCAGCAATTTTGTTCGATGGTCACCTCCTTAACAGACGATGTCCATCTGACACTAGTTTGATCACGTTGTTGGACTTTTAGTCCTTTGTGACTTCCCACCTGTTCGGTCAGCAACATATGCCCCACTCTATCTATCATAATATAGCAAATTACAATGTCTACATGAAAATTGTTTGTTTGGTATTGTTTTTCGCTCTGACCGGAATGACATGGAAATTGAACATGATACATTAGATAATTAGGTCAACTTTTTTTGAGACAAGCCCATACCACACATTTATTAATTAATGTTGTTGGGAGTATCGAGGAGGAAACGCTCGGACACCTGATATTTAGGTTCTTATGGAAATATAATTCAGAAAATTTCCGGAAAAACTGTATTGGGTTAATACACTTTATCCTTATATTAGTAAAAGTGTATTTTTGATCAAAATTTTTTTGATACGTATGTGTCTAGTAACTTATTGCAGTTTTAAATTAGTAAGTTATAAGTTTCATGGAATCAAAATTATAATTTAATTAAACATACATACAATTTAGACATCTTTTGAGTTAGTTTAATATGAAATATAATAAATTAACTTGCCTAATTCTTTTTTATTGGTCTAAACTGGAAGTTATTTTTAAATCAGATCAGTTTTTGTGGCCCAAAAACGTTTTCGAAATTTTAGTTGTACTTCCGGCAACCAACATTACAGTAGCATTTGAAAGTTTCAAAAACAATTTTAATTAAACTAACAAATTACCAGAGATGTGATTTATTTGAAAAGCTTGCATTTAATATGCAAATACAAACTACCTATTTGTATCTTGCATTTAAATACTTTTTCGAGAAAAGCAGATTTTGTATTTCATTTAAAATATTTTTTTAAACGTTTTGTCAATTTGTAAAATGCAAAATACGTCTTTGCCGTTAAATGTTTTAGTAGTATCACCTATCAGATATTGTATAAAATGATGAATGAAAGTTGCCATTGAAATTAGAACTCCTTGGAAATGGATAATTTAAAATATTGGATCGATATTGTTTTCCGGGTTCAATATCATGATCCATAGAATTTTGAAGTTCCAAATTGATTTCAGTACCTGCCAAATCACCACTTATCGTACCTTTAGCAAGGAACTATGAAATCCTATGAATTACGGCAAAACAGCTCGCAAAAACAATATCAAATTTGATATATACCAGGTGTCTAAAACTGAAACCTTTCTTTCTCATATTGCAATGTGTAAAAGATCGGAATCATAATGGGTTGATTTTGATATAAAATGGTTGATGTTGATTTTACATCAATAAAATTATTTGCGATGCTATTTTGATCCGATCTTTCACGCTAAACAAACTATTTTGGCATCAGTGTCTTTTTTTCCAATTAAAACGGGTGACAAAGGCAAATAAGGAAGCATATAGAAGAATTATTTGTTGCTAAACTGAAGAAACTATAACGTAAAGATAGAAAAACTATATCTCAATCACTTCAAACAGAAAAATGTGAATCATACTCAATCTTTCTAGTTGATTATATAGTGCAAACATCTCTAGAAATTACACCCAGATAGAGAATTGACGTTAAAGATGATAACGTCGTTGCAGAAGTTTGTTTTTAAAACTTTTATTATTGACAAATTGTGATTAAAATTAATGTTATTGTATAAACAATTGTTTTTTATGATAAAGATATCAGTAACATTGAAGTGTCTATACTGATATCGATATAACTGCTTTCTTGAAACCTATATTGGTTTTGGTTAGCTGTTATCAAAACACAAACGAACCTTAAAAATTTTTTATTCTGGAAAAACTTTTATTTTCTTTTTATTTAGAAAGACAAATATTACATATAAAGTTAGTGATCTTGTAATTTTGTTTTGAAAATAATTACATTCCTTATCAAAGTTCAGTGTACATTTCAAATTTCTATTCATTTGTAGTAAGAGACATTAAAATTATTGACAAACTTAAAAATTAATTGGTACTAAAATTATTTGGTAGGAACTATTTCACCAACCCATTTTAAATATTCTTCATTACCATTTGCTATGGGCATTGAGATGACTTCACATACTGTGTATGGATGATTTTTCTTTACAAACTCAGTCAGTTCAGGAATCCTTGAAGTCCTGGTCTTTATCATCAAAAGTACTTCTGAATCTTCTTCAATTTTGCCTTCCCATTCGTAGATTGACGTTATTTTCGGTATTAGGTTTACACAAGCTGCTAATTTATTTGATACAAGGCCATGGGCCAATTTCTTGCCTATTTCTTCATTTGGAGCTGTAACGTAAGCAACCGAATGCGTTCCTGATACGTAAGATCCTGATGTTTTGTTCGCCGAACACTCTCCGGACATGGTAGTTAAAAATGCTGAGTTTTTTTTAAAAAGGCTGTAAATGACTTAAATGTTTAATTATAACATAACCTTAAGCAAAACTACTTACCTAAAAATGACAGTAGACAAGAGAACACTCTTTTTTAAAATAATCATTGATTGCTAGGATTAATTATTTATTTACTGTGCGTATATGCAACTACTTCAGTTTATGTTTATGTGTTTCTAATATGCACTAATAAGAACAAATAATAACAAAACCCAGCTGATTTGACAAATGCGATGTACCAGGTTAGCATAAATTACAGAACTAATAGAAACACTTAAATGCTCGAAGTTGCTTCATAGTTCTGTAAATATACTACAGATGCCGCAATGTGTGTACTTTTAGCATAAATTACGTAAATTTTAAATTTTAACTTAATTTACTATATAATTGTGCTAATTTTTGTAAAAGATGTAGAATGAAAATAAGTAGTATTTACTTACCTTCAGTACTGAACATAACTTAATATTTATTTTTTAATATGCAATATTGTGAATATGATTTGCTGTTATTGAAGGGTAGTTTTAAGGGAAATAAAAACAAAAATAGATTATGGGGTAAATATTAAAACTATCAGTCTACATTTTTATTTCATTGCACAGACACTGATAATAAAATATAACAAAAAAAAGGATAAATTTTAAAGTATACGTAAGATTAATCAAAATTTAGATAATACCGAAAAGAAACTATCATTTACTTTGTACTTAAAATAATAAAAAATAATAATAAAACGCAAACGTTCGCATAATAATAACTTAAAAGAAAAAAAGGGAAGGGCGATTATACCGAACAAATTTAAATTATGTATAGACACATTTTCTTAATTTAATGTACATTATATTTACAATATTTAGCAAAAGTCATGTTACACTGTTTCACTAGATAATAATTAAATTCTACATCAATATAACTATACACAATAATAAAATTGCCAATAATAAGGTGATGCTTTCATCCAAATTGGACATTTTTAGAATTGACACGTTGTATTATTTTATTTAAACAAATTACGAAAAAGTCACATAAGTATTATTTATATCATTGGTCCAAAATTGACACAGAAATAATTTGATTGAAAATGAAACAGTTAACAGCAAGAAAATGATATGTGAAAAATTGGTCTAGCGCATCTAGCAGTTGAAAAAAAATTAATTTAAACTAATTAATTTTAATGTTTTTGTACTCGCTAAACA